GGGACCCCGAAGCTCCCTAGGCGCTCCCGAAGGACCCCGAAACCCCGGCTCCTGCCGCAACCGAAGCCTCAGCCCTCGGGGAGGTCACCCAGCTCGATTCGTCGGCCGCAGACTGGTTTTCGCCGGCTCTTTGGCACCAGCCGGGGCGGGTTTCGGACAGAAAGCGCCTGACGTGGTTGCCGGGGCTGCGAAACACAGGAGGAACGACTGTTTTTCCCGGCAGCCAGCCGGGCTTTGAGCTGTTCGTCGGTGGCGGCTGACGGAAAACCACAACCGGGGAATCGCTCGCGACCTCTAGGCAGGACGGTTCAGGGGTCGATTTGAGGAGCAGAGCTCGGCCGCGGTGGTTTCACCGGTGGTTTCACCGCCGGCTCTTGCTTTCCAGGTGCGGCTGTACCGGGAGGGGTGTGACAAAGGGCGTAAAATGGGCTGGAAGCTGTTAGGGGTGGTTGTTTTAGCTGCTTTGTACTTGCAGGCGACGGCAGATGGGGCATGGTTTTATAGAAACACGGAGAGATGGGATTGATTTTTTCCCAGAAAATTAGCCATAAAAGCTAAAGCTCCAGACTTTTCCACTTGCTGATTTTAAAAAGTGACACTCCGGTGGCCTGACACCTGTTTCATCCCTTTTTCTGTCCCAGCGAGGCGTCTCCCCAGGCCGTACGTAACGTATTGTCGCAAAAAATGCCCGTTTTCGCCTTGTTCCTCCCCGCAGCTGAAAAATCACACCTAGAACTGAAGGCGTGAACTGTCACGGTTGGATGAACACGCCTAAAACAGGGGGAAAAAACCCAATTTCCTTCCCTCTCCTGCCTTAATCTCTATTATTTTTCATTTTAGCTTGTTGCTGGGTGGGGCTGGATTCCGCCTGGCCAAGGGGAGAGGGAACTGAAATGACAACATCTCCTCTTTTGGGCTAGAAAAGCTGCTTTCCAATGCTGTGCTCTCCCAACCTTTAACTCCGGACCCCAACTCCCTCTACAAAAACGCAAATCTTGGATTTCCAGCTCTAACCCTGTTCCTGATTTCTTTTTTTTTTTTTTCTCCCACTCAAAACAAATCTTGAGGAGAGGCCCCGAGCGCCTGGATTTAATTACCTGAGTTGTTCTGTTATCAATAACGCAGCCAACGAACTTTAGATAGAGAAACCGAGAGCGTCTGGAATTAATTTCCTGGGACGTGTCGAGGTTGAGGATCTCCGTCCTACGTGTTACGACTTGCTTTTAAGCATTTCTTTTTTTCCTTTTTTTTTTATTTTGCAGAATATTTTTAAAGCCGGCGTTGCTGAGCTCTAGAAAGACGACCATCTCTTGAGTTGGCGCGGAAGAGCTTTTGCTCCTCGGCACGATGTCCACCAAGGTGCCGATCTACCTGAAGAGGGGCAGCAGGAAGGGGAAGAAAGAGAAGCTCCGCGACATCCTCTCCTCCGACATGATCAGCCCGCCCCTGGGGGACTTCAGGCACACGATTCACATCGGTAGCGGCGGGGAAAGCGACATGTTTGGGGACATCTCCTTCCTCCAGGGCAAGTTTCACCTCCTCCCCAGGACCGCAGGCAGCCTTGACTCCGACAAGGACAGCCCCGACGCGGCGCCGTTCGAGTTTTCCAGGACGGCCACCATCTCCGGCCACGAGCAGCCGTCTTTGGAGACTTCATCTCCCCTCCTCAAAAACGCCATTTCCTTACCCGTCATCGGGGGGCCGCAGGCATTGACGCTGCCCTCGGCGCAAGCTCCACCGAAACCGCCGCGGTTGCACCTCGATGACAAAGCTCCGCCGGCGCGAGGCCGGGAAGCCGGAGAGGATGACGAGGGCAGGAACGCCGCCCCGCTGCCGCATCCCTGCGCCTCGCGTTTCGCCGCCCCAACGAACGGCTTTGCCGAGGAGAGGGGCAACGCCGAGCCACCCTTCCTCTCCCACGCCGGCTCCCTCCTCTCCCTCCACGTGGATTTGGGGCCGTCCATTTTGGAGGACGTCCTGCAAGTGATGGAGAAACACCACGCAGAGAGAGTGGGCGGATCTATATCGGATTCGGGCAGGCAGGAAATCTTGACATGAAGACGGACTCAAGGTAAAGACGTTGAGAAATGGATTATTCTTCTTTTTGGGGTGTTTTGGTGTGTGTTTTTGGGTTTTTTTTTTCCAAGCGGCTCTTAAATTACAGCCGAAACTTGCAAGTTTGATTCCACGCGCCTTCCCCAGCCGGGGCGCTGACAAGCGATGTGTTGTTTTCCCTCTCGCAGAGCCCGTCGCGCAAACGGGACGTGAGCGTTTATCCTCGGCGCCGCTCCCCGTGGACCTCTGGCTATTCCCTCAGCCTGGGGAGAAAAAAAAAACCCAACCAACCACCCTACGAAGCCAAGAGGAAACGGGCAGCGCTCGCTGCCGGATTACATCGCCGCTTGCCCGTATCGACTTCACCTTTAGCGACAGACCGAACCGTAGGACTGTGCTGACCGGTAGAAAAAGAGACACTGTGCCGTTATAAATGTTTGTTGTACCGGACGGGGCGAAACAGCGACGGTTGAATTCCCAAGTGTCTCGGTCGGGAGTTTTTGGGTTTCGGGGCGGGGGGGGTCCCTTCCTTGAAGAGGGGTTGCGGTCTGCACTCAGTCGAGGCAAAGCTGTTGGCCAAGCCCCCGAATCATCAAGGTGATGTCAAATGTCGGCCTTCGACGCGATTTAATTGTTTAAAGATTCCACAAATCAGTAAATCTAGCGGTTACGGAGCGAAAGGCTCTGTCGGGCTTTAACGTTGTGCCATCCCTAAGGAGAAGCTAAAAGCTCTCTGCGGAGAAGCTAAAAAAACCCCTCTCGGGCCGTATTTTGGCAATTAAATCCACGGCCGGAGCTTGGGGTCGGAATTTAAAGTTGTAAATAAGATGTAAAAAAAAAAGCAAAAAAAATATATTAAGTGAAGAGTGAGTGACCACCCGGCCGGATTCCTGCGCGGTGGGGTGAAATTCATTCTCCCGAAAAGACGCCGTCTCCATCAATCACAGATTGTTTGGATGGACGGAGGAAGGAGGGGGTGAAACGCTTCAGCGCGCAGAAAGGAATGCGAATCCCTTCTGCTTTTCAAAAAATAATTAAAAAAAAAAAAATCGCTGGAAATGCCAATTCTGCTGACGTCGGGGTGAAAGACCTTAACGCTCGGCTGCGAGGGCTTTCATTCTCTTTCCCGATCTCCGAATCGAGGACGAGAGGAGCTGCTGGACTCAGTAGCAGTGTAAAAGCAAGCGGCACCTCGTTTCCTAGATGCCGTCATTAATTAACTGCATAATTTTTAACCGTTTCTGGTAGTTTTAGCCCAGAATGAGGCTGGGTATGTCCCCCCGTAAGGAATTAAGGAACATCTTGAAGAGCACACTGACTTCTTGCTGGCTTGCCGGAGCCCGACCGTCTGTTTCTTTCCATCATCAATTGCTGTTTCTTACAGTTATTGTTAAATAACGAGTCATTAGACTAATGAGCTTGTAGCTCGTCACCACGCAATTGTGTCCCGGCTCTTGCTTGCTCTTGCCCATCTGCGTCCGGTGGGGCGCTCCCACTCTAAGACCAAAACCCTCCGTTTTGGTGGCAGCACCAAAGATTTAGGGTTAAACTAATTTTTCAAGTCTTCAGCCTGCAAAATAATTAAGAAAATTGGATTAATTGAGCTCGATCCCGGCAGCCGCTGGGTTTAATTTCCATTTGATTTTACACTGCGATGGTTCAATCCTTACCTGGTCTAAACTGATGGCGCTTCTTCCGAGCAACACCCATCCACGTGGCGACAACTTATTTTTATTTATTTTAGGATTTTTCTTACCAGAAATAATTCCAGCGATGGGACGGGGGCGCTTTAGAGCATCGTTTGTAATTAATTTACTCTGGCGATGGCCGATTTTGATGGGAGATGTGGATCGGACCACGAGCCCGGCTCGCTTTCCCCGTCCCCTCTTCACTTGCTAACACGCGGCAGCTGCTGTTTGGTCAAACAATTTGAAGGAAAAAAAAGCCTGGAATTGGTAATTTTTGGGTGGTTTTCAGAGCACTTGGCTTGGTTTTTTTTTTGTGGCCCCACATCCTCGTGTGGGGTGGGTGGTGACAATGTGCTGGTGCCTGTTTTCATGGATTTCCACCTTAATTAGTGAATTAAATTGAGCCAGGGATGAAGATGTCTGAGTTCTCCCCCTCCCGCCGCCGCCTAATTATCGTCAGCAATTACAAAACTTCACCGAGAATCACCACTGGGTCTGGGCAATGCCGGGCAGCAACTTCCCCACGTTTCGAAATAACACCATGGAGTTAACGGCCAAAAATCCCCCTTTCTCCCCATTTTTTTGCTCCTTCTACTTGTCACAAGCCAGGGGACGGATTTTGGGTGTTAAAAGCTTTAATTTGGCACCTTGCTCGCTTCCCAACGGCTCCTGGCTGCGTCTGAGCGGATCCCTCCCTCCCTGATCATCCCGCTCTGCTCTGGCGCCGGAATCACGGTGCCTTCCCGAGCCGACAGCTGGAAGAAAAACGAGAGCTGGTATTACAAAGGGTTGAATGGGAAGGATGCTTTAATTTGCTGGATTTTGGCACTTTTCGACTCTAAAAAGGTGATGCTCCTTGTCTGCAACACTCCTCCCTCCGCTCTGCCCACCACCACCGGCTCTTACCCACCTCTCAGACTATATTTGATATAAACCCCCTGGAATTATCCCAATTTTATTTTTTTTTTTTTAAACCTATTTTTCCAGGCACGGTCTCATCTCCTTTGCTGCCACAAAAACATTTATTTAATTAATTTTTAGCTACTAGCAAGAAAATCATTCGGGATTCCCCCCGCTCTGGGGTTTCTGCACAGGATGGGGGCTTCCTTCATCCCCTCTCCCTGTTAGGTCCCTAATTAATTAATCACTCGTCAAATTGCCTATTTATGCAAACAACTGTTGCTAAACCTGGGTTTTGTGGTTTTTTTACACCCCGTTCTAAGAAGCATGAGTCACTCAGGCAGGAACGCTGTTCCCTGCCGTGACTCAGCCGGCACGTGTCAAACAACGTCTTTCCCCCTCGCTTTTTCGGGGAGATTTAAGACAAAATAAGTCAACAAAGAGTTTGATTAATTCTAGGGGAGGGACAACGGGTGTCCACAAGCGGAGGGTTCGGGGCGCACAGGCTCCCACCCTGCTGCCGACAGTCCCAGCTACCCCACAACTTCTTCGTTATCCCAACATTTCCAGGCAGCGGATTAACGATGCAATCAACGCGGCCAACGCCTACAACCGATACTGGGCGTTCGACCCCTGCCGTGGGTTTGGCGCGCCTGACCCTGCCATGTCACCCGTAGCCGGAGCGCGACGACTGTTAATCGCGGTGACAAAGCCTTGATTCGTATTGACGGGGCAGGGAAACTAAAGCGGTTGCGTGCAGGCAGATAACAGCCGGTGCGGGATTAAGGGGAGGAGGAAGGGCAGAGAGAAAGGTTTAACCTTCGGCGTAACCGAGAAAACCGATTTCCCAGCACATAAGAAAAAAAACAAACCACACCACATAGAAAGTGGAAGTAAGAAGGAAAATAGAGAGAGAAATTCACTCGGCCCCTGTTTTCGGACAAACCACACGTGCAGCCTTGTGTCTGCCTCTCCGCCCTGCAATGAGATCTCCGGTTAACTCAGGTTCGATAAAAAGGGAAAAAGGCTCAAAAATTTAAATTTTCTGCATGGATTTCTAAAGAAAAAGAGGCTGGGGGGGGTGTTGGTTTTGAGGCAGGGACCAGGCACTGAAAGCATAAATACCCGTAGGGAATCTCTAGGGAGGTTTGAGGTTGATGGGGAAGACCCTCGTTCATCCCCCATTTCATCCTCCCCCGACCCTCATCCCTCTTTCCTTGTCCTCCCAGCACCCTTCCTCCTCCCCGGTCCGCCACACTCCTCCTTCCTCATCCCCCCCATCCAAACACCCTTCATCCCTCGCGGGTGCCCTCACCCCCTTTTCCTCATCTCCCTTTCCATCCCTCACCCCTCCATTCTTACCCTTTTCCCCTCACCCCAGGTCTTTACCCTTCCACCTTTACCTCCCCCTCCATTTTGCCCCTCATTCTCCCTCCCTCCCCACCCTTCACCTTCC